ATAATAAATCAGTGTAACAGAAGGAAATTTGAAAGTGTTCATCTTCCTAAAACATGCTCAGGAAGATCACAGAAAATGGTGGTTTTGATTCTAGAGTCTCAGAATGTGGTACTTCTGCCTGTCAGATTTATAATTTGTTGTTTCACACATCCCTCCTACCCTTGTGACCTTGGACAAGCTAACCTTGCTTATTCGTAAAATGGGAGAAATAATTTGGTGGTCAAAAAGATTTTTCCATTGAGGACTGCTAGGAGGCAGAGAAACCCATGGCAGGCAGGAGTTATTATCAGGTCACTCAGTTACTATATGGAAAGCACTTGAAACAATTCAAAGCACACAGTAAGCTTGTTAGAGGCCAAGTGTCAGAGGAAGTATGTTCTCCGTCTAAAGCAACCTCAGGCAAGAACTTGTGTTTTTTTTTTTTTTTTGTCAGTCGTGGGGCTTGAACTCTGGGCCTGGGCGCTGTCCCTCAGCTCTCCAGCTCAAGGCAAGCGCTCTACCACTTGAGCTACAGCGCCACTTCCGGTTTTCTGGTGGTTTATTGGAGATAGGAGTTTCACGGTCTTTCCTGCCCGGGCTGGCTTTGAACCTCGATCCTCAGATCTCAGCCTCCTGAGTAGCTAGGATTACAGGCGTGAGCCACCAGCGCCCGGCTCTCATTTGTGTTTTTTTTTTAACTTACATTATGGTTTATTTTTTGATGGTATCATTTGCATGATATAAATTTCGCTCTTTTAAAGTGTCCAATTCACTAGTGTTTAGTACATTCACAAAGTTGTACTATCATTACTATTACCTACTTTTTGACTAATCTATCACTCCAAAGGGAATTTGAGGGTGTTTTTTATCCTCTCCATACTCATTCCTAGTCTCTCCCCATTTTCTCTTAAATTCAGCCCTGACAACCATATAATCTTACAAATACCATCATTTATTTTTTATTTTTTGTCAGTTGTGGAGCTGAACTCTGGGCTTGGGTACTGTCCCTGTGCTCTTCAACTCAAGGCTACTTGAGCCACACTTGAGCCACAACACCACTTCCAGTTTTTTAGTGGTTAACTGGAGATAAGAGTCTCATGGAGTTTCCTGCTCAGGCTGGCTTTGAACCGTGATCCTCAGATCTCAGCCACCTGAGTAGCTAGGATTATTTAGGTGTGAGCCACAGGCGCCCTGCCCATCATTTATTACACTACATCATCCTATAATATACCATGATATATTTTACAATATACTATCTTTTATTTACTATCATGTAGCAATAATATACCATCTTACAACATATGATCATATATTCTTACTTTTACATTTAATATTACTTTTAATATCTTTTCTGATAAGTCTAGCTTCTTTAATTTAATGCAGTATTTTCAAGGTTTGTGCAAGTTGTGACTTGTATAAACAATGTATTCTTTTTTTTTTTTTCTCAGTCATCAGGGCTGACCTCTGGGCCTGGGCACAGTCCCTGCGCTCTTCAGCTCAAGGCTAGCACTCTACCACTTGAGCCACAGCGCCACTTCTGGCTTTTTTCTGCTGATGTGATGCTGAGGAATCGAACCTAGGGCCTCATGCATGTAAGGCAAGCGCTCTACCACTGAGCTAACTTCCCAGCCCAAGCAGTCCATTCTTAATGGCAAATAGTAATCCATAGTCAGGATATGTCATTTCATATCATCATAACATTTAGGCATTTGGGTTTTTCCCCTATTCTTGGATATTATGGCCAATGCTTCTATGAGCATTCATATACAAATTTTGTGCAGATACTTTTTCACTTCTCGTGGGTTTATACCTAGGAATGGAATTGCTAAGTCACATGGTGATTCTGTGGTTAACATTTAGAGGAACTACCCACTGTTTCCCAAAGGAGATGTACAACACTGTCCCACCAGCAATGCATGAGGGCTTTGATTTTTCTACCATCTGCTAACACTATCTGTCTTAACTTTTTTTTACAAATCCTAGTGAGTAATGAAGCAATATTTCATTGTCAATTTTATTAAAATTTCCCTTATGGCTAACAGTGTAGAACCTTTTCTTCAGTGTTTATTGACCATTTGTATATCTTTGTAGAAATGTCTACTCAGATCTTTCACCTATTTTTTATTATTATCTTCAAAGGGTTGTTGGAAGATTTCATTTAACATGCCCATGTATTTGTATAATATATATTGGCCCACTCATTTTCAATTAGATTATCTATTTATTATTTAGTTGTAAGAATTCATTTCTACATACAAGTCTCTTATCAAATAAGTGCTTTGCAAATATTTTCTCCCATTCTATGGATTGCCTTCATTTTCAGCTTTTTAGTTGCATGAATATTTAATTTGATAAAGTCTAATTTATTTTATTTTGTCATGTGTATGTTTGGTGTTGTATATTAATAGCATTTATCTAGCCTAAGGTTAGAAAAATCTACTACTCCTTAATGTTTCCTTCAATTAAGCTATTTCAAATTAATTTTGTATATGATGTGAGGTAGGATCCCAAGTACATTCTTTTTTTTTTTTTAATCTGTTGTGGGGCTTGACCTCTGGGCCTGGGAGCAGTCCCTCAGCAGGTTCAACTCAAGGCTAGCACTCCACCACTTGAGCCATGGTGCTACTTCTGGGTTTTTTTGGGTTTTTTTGGTCCAGTCATGGGGCCTGAACTCTGGGCCTGGGCGCTGTCCCTCAGCTCTTCAGCTCAAGGCTAGCGCTCTACCACTTGAGCCACAGCGCAACTTCCAGCTTTTTCTGCTTATGTGGTGCTGAGGACTGGAACCCAGGGCCTCAGGCATGCAAAGCAAGCGCTCTACCACTGAGCCGCCTTCCCAGCCCTCTGGGGTTTTTTTTGTTGTTATTGTTTGGGTTTTTTTTTTGTTGTTGGTTGTGGGGCTTGAACTCGGCCTAGGCGCTGTCCCTCAGCTCTTCAGCTTAAGGTGAGCACTCTACCGCTTGAGCCACAGCGCCACTTCCGGTTTTCTAGTGGTTTATTGTAGATAAGAGTCTCACAGACTTTCCTGCCCAGGCTGACTTTGAACTGGGATCCTTGGATCTCAGCCTCCTGAGTAACTAGGATTACAGGCCTAAGCCACCAGCTCCACATATATTCTTTTAAGTGTATATAATTTTCCCAGCACCATTTGTTGGTAAAAATATTCTTTTGCAATAAAATTGACTTGGCAAACATGTCAGAAATTAATTGACCATAAATAAATGTGTTTATTTCTGGCCTCTCAGTTCTATTTTGGTGACATATATATATATATATATATATATATATATATATATTACACACACATATATACACATACACACACGCACATACATATTCCTATGCTAGTATCACACTGTTTTTGTTAGTTTTAGTCGTGTTGGCAGATTGAGCCTAGGACTTCATGCATATTAGAAAAGTACTTTACCATTGAGTAACACTGCCACTCATGTTGTCTTGTTGTAACTTGGTGTAGTAAGTTTTATTGTTTAGAAATATGAGTCCTGTACCTTGTTTTTTCAGTGGCATTTTAGTATAACACTTATGCTCATTGCCATAGGTTGGAGGTTTTCTCAGTTTTATTTTATTGTGATAAAATATACAACCCCAAAATTTCCATTTTTAAAATCTTTTACCACTTTTAAGTGTATAACCAATGACTCTAACTATATTCACAAAATTCACAGTGTTGTGTAACCATCACCGTTGTTTATTTTCAGAATCTTTTTGATCACTGCAAACAGAAACTCTGCACCCATTAAGCAATAACTTTCCATTTTACTTCCTTTCAGCCCCTATTAACCTTCACCCTCTTTTTCATCTCTAAATTGACTTACTCCTGATACCTCATGTAAATGGGATCATGCAATGTTTGCACTTTTTATTTCTGTGTATCTCACTTAGCACAGAGTTTTCAAGTTTATCAGTGCTATAATAGGTACTAAAATTCAGCTCATTTTTATACCTGAGTTACATTTTCTTAAATATGTTTTTACCTTTGGGCCATTTGAGTAAGACTGCTATGAATATCTGTGTTTGAGTCTGTGCTCTCAGTTCTTCTGCTTCTACACTGCAGGCCTTGTGATTCTATGACTGCTTTGAGGGACGACCCTGCTGGTTTTTGTGGCATCTGCATGTTTCACCCTTACACAGCAAAGCACAAACCATTCAAACTTCTCTACATCTTCACCATCATTTGTTACTTTTAAATACATACATATATATATGTATATATATATATATATATATATATATATTAGTCATACTAGAGGCTAGGAATGTGGCTTAGTGGTAGAGTGCTTGCCTAGCATACATGAAACCCTGGGTTCAATTCCTCAGTACCACATAAACAGAAAAATCCCAAAGTGGCACTATGCTCAAGTGGTAGAGTGCCAGCTTTGAGCAAAAGATGCTCAGGGACAGTTCCCAGGCCCTCCGTTAACCCCAGGACTGGCAAAAAAACAATAATCATACTAAAAGATATAATTTTTTTATTTGAAAATTAAATACTTAATCTCTTAGACAGACATACTAAGTATTTCAGTGAAAAGAAACTCAAGGAAAATGGTGGTTTTCTAGATTCCTTGTTAGCTTTGTGTCTTTATTATAATTGGGAATATCCATAATTTACTATAGTTGATAAATAACTAAATGCTGTCTGAATTTTTTTTTTTGGCAACCTAGGGCCTTCAACTTATTAGGTACTAAACCATGTCTCTGCTTGTTTTTGCCTTAGTTATTTTTCAAATAGAATCCTACACTTTCTTCCCAATGCCTGAGATTACAGGCATGAACTATCATACCTGGCTTAATTTTGTTTAGATGGATAAGATCTCACTTAACATTTTTCCCTGGCTGGCCTCAAACCATGATCCCTACCTCTCTGCTCCCCTGAATAGCTAGCATTATAGGAATGTATCTTCATGTCAGCCCTGTAAGCCTGGAATATTTTAAACTTTTATGGATACATATCATTTTAAATTTGGGGAACTATAACTCTCCCTGTCTTTTCTATGATATTAAAGACAACAGACACCATTGATAGAACTCAGCCAGACAAGAATGGTGAGGACATCAGTGCGTATTTCATGAACCCATCCTTGGTACAACCAGGGTGTTCACCAGCTGTGAGAAAGAAGACAGAAGATGTGAGTGACCTGCTGTCTGACAGTCAAAGAAGCGTACCACTTGCTGTGACCGATGCACTAGAGCATATCATGGAGCAGCTCAACGTCTTGACACAGGTGCGTTGGCACGGCCTTGGGAAGATACGCGCAATTTTGTTATAGCAGGTTGCAAAACTAATGGGGCATGAGAAGATTTTTCTTTTATTCCCAAGATGTGCTGGGCTAGCTGCTCTAAGCTGTGTCTACAGAGAAGCTCGAAGAGAGAAAGAGAGGGACAGGGGAGGGAAAGAGGAAAGAAGTGTGGTTGCATGCACGCACACACTCACACACACACAGATTTCTTTGGAAAAAACAGAAGTGGTACTCCATGCCACAGAGGTATTTGGCTTTAGACAGTGATGTTTTGCCCTCTGAATATTAATATTATGTCACTCATAATATAATACTTAGGACCTAAAGAAAAATCTATTGCAAGGAAACATTTCTGGTTATTATGAACTATTACCACCTGTATGTATACTTTTTCACTCTGAAAACATAATTTTTCTCTTTCCAAAGCTTCAGGTATCAGTAGTAGTTCTTTAGTAGTAAGGGCTTTGCATTCCCATTTTAGTATCTTAACCAGTTTTTGTGAAGCAATTTACCTTTGCAAAGAAAGGAAATAGTAATTCTTTTTTTTTTTTCTCCATCCTGGGGGGCTGAACTCTGGGCCTGGGCGCTGTTCCTCAGCTCTTCAGCTCAAGGCTAGCACCCTACCACTTGAGCCACAGCACCACTTCCGACTTTTTTCTGTTCATGTGGTGCTGAGAAATTGAACCCAAGGCTTCATGCATGCAAGGCAAGCACTCTACCACTGAGCCAATTTCCCAGCCCCCGAAATAATGATTCTTAAATAATGCACCCAAAGCTTTCCAGTTCTTGATCAAAGGTATAGATGTGGTAAGGAAAGTTGTACCTTGAAATGATGCACCAAAGTCTTCTGTTCAGCTCTGTTGATTTAGTGTTTTCTTTAGAGAAGTCTTCTTAAGTTCTTTGAAATGTTTAATGTCTGTACAATCCACCATGCACAATATTTGTTAGAGCAGATAAATTATGTAGTTATATAGAACAAAGGACTAAAATATAAACTAGAGAGATATCAATTACTTGTCTAGCAAAAATATTTCAAAATAAAATAGCTCCTGAATAGAAATTACCTAACTCACTTCTCAGTACTGGCTGTGTATTACATCTCTGTAATCCAGGGCCACCTGGATGTATGCACAAGAGAGCCTCATTTCCATTGGTCTGTGATAAGATACTGGTGTCCATCATATAAGCACGTTTTATAATTCTGCTTTGGAGCCAATGTTTAGAATAACTATTTTATGTTTTATTTTGTTGTGGGGCTTGAACTCAGGGCCTAGATACTGTCCCTGAGCCTCTTTGTGCTTGATGCTAATGCTCTACCACTTGAGCCCACAGTGCCACTTCTGGCTTTTGAGTGGTTAATTGGAGATTAGAGTCTCAAAGGGACTTTTCTGCCCAGCCTGGCTTCAAACTACAAAATCCTTAGATCTCAGCCTTCTGAGTAGTTAGGATTACAGACATGAGCCACTGGTATCTGGCTAGAACCACTAATTTAAGGCATATTTGTATACTGTTGATAACCTCTCAAGGCCTTTGGAGTTTTAAGAAGCATGTCCATGGTTTTAGTCAACAGTCTGTGGTAATGAGCCATGTGAGAACTTGGAGTCATATATGATTTGCTCAGAGAGCATATTAAAATCATCCATTACCACTTTCTAATATTGTGCCAGAGAGACTTTCTCTGTTTTTAAGCAGATGTTCCTTTCCTTTAAAGATAGTGAGGTGAGATGGTACACACCTGTAATCTCAGGATTTGAGAGGCTGGGACTAGAGGATCATGAATTCATGGCCATCTTGGGCTATATAGTGATACCTTGTCTAACAAAATGAGGAGGAGGAGGAGGGCAAAGACGAAGAAGAGGATGGAGGAAGGGGAGGGGGAGGAGTTGTTGCCCTCTGAGTTTCATGTCAAAAATCAGTTTTAGCTGGCTTGTTGTCCAGATTGCCATGTGTTTACCTAAGCCATTACCTGTCAGTGCCAGTCCTCATTAGAATTTTTCACATATAACCTTCTCATTCACTACTGCTTCAGCTTCAGGATTCATTGCTTTCTTCACCTGATTCAAAGTTAAGTGAAAAACCTTCAGCTTTGTTAAATCTGTGATTTAAAAAAAATTAATGTTGAAGGACAGGAGTGTCTATTAAAAAGGTTAAAGCAGGCCTGGCATACTTGTAAAAGGGGAACAGAGAGTCTGCAGGCAAGAAGCAAGAAAAATACATTTCTTACTCCATTTACTAGTGACTTCATGTCACCTAAGTTGCAGAGAATTTAACTGTCTGTAGGAACTGTAATTAGAAGTAAATTAAAATTAAGTAACATTTGGCCAGGAGATAAGTGGAGTCAATCAGTGTCAAACCACTTTGTCATAAGTAATGTAGTAGTATATTGTATCTGGCAAGCTGTTTGGCACATTTTAGGCACTCAGGCATTGGTAGAAAGTCTTATGAACTTAACTGTCATTTTTTAGTTAGGCATGGTCTACTCCAGAAATATGAAAGCAAGAGTTTTAAGTGATACCAACAGTTTACCTTTCATGTACAATGGAAAAATCACTTCATTTTCTTGTACATTGTTGGCTAAAATAACCAAACATTTATTTTGCCTTTCCTGTATGAATTCTCCCATTGAGTAGCCAAGCAGGAAACATGGAAACATGTCTCTTATTTATAAATTATCCCAACTTATAAAATGTCTCATATGACAGAATTAGACAATGGTCATTATCCCGACATTGAATCACCACCAAAAACATCACTCAAAGAGAAATAACTGATGCTGCGCTGACTGTGTGCCCACTAATGAAAGCACAGACCACCACCACTTACAGTCTTACCTTGATCTTGTAGAATGTGCACAGGCTGGAGGAACAGACTAAGCCACACCTGAGTGTGGCCCTTAAGTCCAAGTCACTGGAAACTTCTTCAAAGGTCAGCTGACCTGAGCTGCCAACAAATAAACTGTCAGAAGAAGATAGGGAAGGGTGGCACCTTTCAAAGTAACCTGGCAGGCCTCGAAAATAAAATAAAGAGCAAGTGTATTTTCCTGGGATTTACATTTGAGAAATAAAACCATAAGGAAATATTTAAAAAGTGAGGGTAAAGGTAAGGATAGTGGCTATTCTGGAAGTAGCAGGAGGACAGACACGGTGCCAGCGGAGTTTTAGTTATTGCCTGGTAGCTATTAAAATGTTTTTCTGGTGAGAATTCATTAAGTCTCGCGTGACTTCCTAATATATATCTTAGTTATAACAAGTATTTTTTAAAAGATACAAAAGAAGCCAGATGGCAGTGGCTCATGCCTGTAATCCTGTCTACTCAAGAGGCTGCGCTCTAAGGATCACAGCTCAAAGCCAGTCCAGACAGGAATGTCTGTGAAACTCTTATCTCCAGCTAACCAACAGAAAACTGGAAGCGGAGCTGTAGCTTAAGTGGTAGAGTGCCAGCCTTGAATGGAAACGCTTTTAAGGGATAGTGCCTAGCTTCTGAATTCAAGCCCCAGTACCAGCACACTAATGCACACACACACACACACACACACACGTAAAATATCACACAAAATTAGATTTCCCAAATTTAATGCATGTTCTTTTAATGAGGATATGTAACTGCATCCTGAAGGAACCCCTGGTTATGGCAGCCTAGAACCAGCATAAGCACTGTGTACATTTTTGCTCTCCTCAGCCTGTGAGCTGCTGCTGGCCTCTTCTGGGTGCAGGAACCTGGGGCAATCATTATGGTCTCTCCGAAGAACTCTAACTGCCTGGCTCTGGGGTGCTGAAGGGAAGCTTGGCCATGGATTCAGTTGTAACAGAGTGACTGGGGATGACCTCCCCGCGGCCTCTAAGCCGCGCAGGCGGACGCTTGCTCTCCGCACACGACTGTGTAGCCTGTGGCACTGCTTATAAGCAGTACTTTACATGGTCTCTTTCCGGGCCTGTGGCTTCAGTAGATCAGATAGAAGAATTGTCTGCAGAGGCCAGATCTACATTCCTTTTTGCTCATATGTGTCAGTTTTGTTTCCTTAAACTACTTGATAGTGCTTGTCCCTTGGTAGGACCCAGCAGTAACACGAGTTCTGCCCCGCCCCCGCCCGACGCTTTTTTTAAAAAACAGGAGATTGGCACCCCAATTTTGAAAAGGCTAGCTCATGCAGACACCACCTTTTTCATCCTAATCCCAAAGTTACCAGCCATTGACTATTTTGTCCTCCTATTTGCAGACTGTTTCAATTTTGGAGCAGCGACTGACTTTGACAGAGGATAAGCTGAAAGACTGCCTTGAAAATCAGCAAAAGATTTTCGGTACCATCCACCAGAAAAGTTGACTAGGAAAGTGTGAACTGAGGCATGAGAAATGAGCGCTGTGTATGTACTCAGGAAGGTAGCCCAGAGGCTCCACCCCTTACCCCACTCGCCACTCCCCATGACATTTCTTCAGAGGGTGAGCAACAGAACAAAAGACAGAAAAAGCCTATTTAAGGACCAATTTAAACACACAAATCAATGTCAAGGACTAATTTACATCACTCCCAGGCATGATTGCAGTAATAAAGTGGAGAAGCATTCAAGCAATTCCCCCTACCCCCATATTATTTTATATAAATGTCATTTTTCATTCATACCCTAAATCTTGCCAGGAAAGTAACCAAATCTTTGGATTTTACTGCTAAATTATTTGAGAATGATCATGTTCAGGAAATCCCTTGAAGTAATTAAGTTATTTCTATAACAACACACTTGAACAGTGCAATGATTCATTTCTAAACTAGCATTTGAAAGTAGAGAATGAGCTATTGATCTGGCTCATGTTTCTTTTAAACAACAACAACAAAAAGCATCCTCATATTAAGGCCATAAAGAGATGACGGATAAAAATACCAAGACTATGGAACTTCCACAGTAAGAATACACCCGATTAGCAACGGAACATATGTAAGGTGATGCAGAGGGTTTTTATTTGATTTCTGCTGTGCATTCTTTATCTTTTGACTGACCCAAAGGGAAATGAAGAGTAAAAAGCATCTGAAGCACACATGTAGTTTCTATCACAAATGAGTGGGCAGAATGATCTGGGTAGTAATGCACCTGCAATCACAGTTCGCAGAGATTTTGTTAGTGTGATTTCAGCATGCTAAAAAGCCACAATGATGTAACAGATCTATTTTAAAATTTGCACACATGTATATATACACATGCCTCAGAAATACCTTTGCTTAGGGTGATTTTTGGCAGCCGAAAAATAAGTTCTATATTTATTCTGAAAAGCATCATTTGCATCATTGTCTTCCTGGGTTTGTTATTGTTGTTAATGAATTGTGACTTGAAACAAAATGAAAATGAGCCAGACTTTCTAAAAGATTGTGGTTACGGATTAAGAATTTTATCTTAGACAAAATGGACAATAAAGTTTAAAAGAAAAAAAAGCAGGCAAATTAATTGCAGCTTGCTTTTCCAGTAGCCTGAATCAAGAACAAAGGTGGGAGATGGAAGACCACATTTATAGTCTCTACTTATAATGTGAGGAAAATACTATCTATGGTTTAAAAAACTAAAATAGGAGAAAAGGTAAAGTCCTGTTTATGTGAAAATCTATATTGAAACATTTTTTTCAAAGCAATTTTAATTGTACCCATGACTTTTATCTTTTTATCGTCTCCTTGTGTGTTTTAAGTGCCTTTTATATTGTGTTTTCTAGACATTTTCAAGAGCTTACAAAGACTAACTGGTATTATATTTTTATAACTCCATTGAAAAATCTAAATAAGAAATGAAATGTCATGCAATTTTTGTTTACAATTTTTTATGCTTCATACAATAAAGACACTTTTCCTTTTTTAAAAAAAGTCAGTTTTTTTTTAACGTTTATAACCTGGAAATTCTAAACTTCTTATCATCTGGCTCTTGCAATGTACATATCAGTGTCCTAGAGAGCTTGTCCAAACAGTTTCCAGGGCCTTATCAGAGGTTATGAGTCACAGGGATGGGAGGGGCCCATGACTTGTGTCTCTTAACAAGTAAGTCACTGACTACAAAGATGCTGTTGTTGCCCCAAGGCCCACACTTCAGGAATCACTGATGTAACTTTAGCTCAGTCTTACAACACAATGTTACCACATTAGTTGTACACACCTGGAAGAACTTTATGTGGTTTATGATAATGATACAAACTTACAACTTGTTCGGGAGGGTCATTTTATAATTCCCCTTTACCTCAAACAGATCCTGGCTTCCCACCCCAACTGGAATATCTCCTCTTTAAAGTACAATAGTAACTTCTAAATATATCCATAATCAGTTCCGCCACCCTCTCTCCCAATTACTACCATCAACAGCAGCAATTTTCCTATGCTTTCTAACCTTAATAAAATGTCAATCTTCCATTGGTGAAGCTGAAGTCGTGGTTTCCTCCTTGACTTCCTTCTTTCAAACCTCATTCTTCAGTTCTTCAGCAAATCTTAAGAATTGATGAAACTCAATTCTTCATCACCTCCATCTTTCATCATGGCCCAAGCCATCATCTCTTTCCTGGATGACTGTAGATACCTCCTAACTGTTCTTCAGGCTATCACCTATAAACATCAGGCCTTTGTGGGGTCAAAATAGGTAGCTCAACCAGATATAGGAGTATATGCCTCTAATCAATCAAAGCACTCTGGAGGCTGAAGCGGAAGGATCAAAAGTTGGATGCCAGCCTGGGTCAAGAAGACCTTGCCCCAGAAAAACAAACACAGCAACAAGAAAGCAAGTTCCTATCTCATTCAGAGTAAATGTTCAAATCTTCAGATGATCTGTCTTCCACTGTTAACCTCCTCTTAGCTCTTTCCTCTAACTTACTCTTGCTCCCTGCCCTCTAGACTCCTTCCTTGATTTCCTCAACCTGGAACTGTACCCTAAGGCATACCTTACAGCATTCAGCCTCTGTTCACTGTTTTCCTAATTATCACACCTCCTGACCAGGCTTGCTTTTCTCTCACCAGAGGTGGTTTTCTCCCATGTACTCATTATCATCAGACCTACATAATAGTTCATGTACACATGCTCATCTGAGGAACATCATCTCTGGGGTAGAGGGGGAACTTTGGGCCATTGGGTAGAACGCAAGCTGATGACAATGTCCAGTTTGGAAGAAACATAGAACATAGATCTTATAAAATATGAAAACAACTACTAAGTTGCAGATTTATTCCTTTACCCAGATGGTGTCTTCTCAACCTCATTTACTTCCTGAGCAGAAGAGCTTAACAGCTCATTAATCTTCAGTTATAATCTTTGATATCACTTTCTCCTTGAACTCTACCATTCTTCTATCTCAGCCTTCCAAGAGCTAGAATCATCCTCCACCATGAATGGCTATAATTTTAAAAAATTAACATAAAACAATTATACTTATTTATTGCAGAGTGATTATTCATGTATATTAGGTATCAATATTCCAATCAGGGTCATAGCCACTTCCAGCACCTTAAACACTTTTCATTTCTTTGGGCAGACAGCAAGGAATTCAAGAATTAGGCTATACCAAACCACAAGAGATCTGGGCTTTACCACCAAGTACAAGCACCTGGGGAATCTTTTATAAGGTGTTTGAGGAAGCAAGACAGAAATATTTGACTAGTTAATGTAGAATAGGAAGCCATAAACTCTTAGACTTAGAGGTTATAGATTGTTGAAACTCAAATTTGGTCGTCCTCCAATGTGACTTTAATCTGTGATTTTCTTCCTAGTTCTTTACAGAAAAGCTTAGGGAGTTAGAACTGTTTGAGTCTAATTATTTTAACATCATGGTATAAGTTACATCTCATTTGCAAATAGCCTTCCTATTCTAATTTTGAAGGCTAATATTTCAAATGGTATAAAACATTGTTTAGGTGAAGCACACCTATAGTCCCAGCACTTAGAAGACCCAGACAAGAACATTGAAAGTTCAGGGCCAGCCTGGGCTATAAAGCTAGACCCTGCCTCCAAAAAAAAAAAGGAAAAAAAAAGATGAAGAAAATTGTTTAGGAAGTTCAGTTAGTGAACTTTCATGGGATAGATGAAAAATAATGGCAGGAAAGATTTTTTCTAATGATAATTATTTATGGAGTATATAGTTGATGTAAGTTGATGTGCTTTACCTTTCTAATTATATGTGATTGTTTATATGATAATGTCTCCTGATTTTACTAAAGATTTGAAATTTATGATAAATTTGAACCATTGGGATGAACCACTGAATAGTTTTGCTTGGCTCACAAATTTATTTTTAGTCTAGTGGTGTTACCTACTGATACTTAAAGATTGGAGATTTTAGATCATAACTTAGACTCTACCTTGTGATAGCAGAAATGTTCTGTAAATACTGCACCTGCCTTTTTCAAAGCTGCAGGGAACTAACACTGGGAGAGGAATTGGCTTTGGAAGGGCAGGCATACCCCACTCCTGTTTGTCATCACCTTTCTCTACTGCTTGACATTACCTACCTGACCCTATGGATATGCAAGTCTTCTACCTGGTGATCTAAAGCGTCTCTACCATTCTGTGGTTATTTCTCATCTGACCCCATCTATACCCTTCTGATGTCTTTCCTCTTGCTCCATGGCTTTGTGCCTTACTCTTAGCCCTGAACCTTTCACCATTACTGGAATGGAACATGCCATTCCTTTTCCATCTCCACTTCTACTGAGCCTACTCTTGCCCTACCTATCTCTTCATTGCTTGGAAAGCCCTCACCTTTCAAAAAAACTAGCTGGTATATCACCTCAGATTTTTCTCTTGTTCTTCCAGCGCATTTTGTGCGAGTCTCCACAACATTATAGACAGCAAATGCAACTGAACTCTGCTTTCTCCATTCTATCTGGACTTCTAAGGGAAAGTACTGTGACCTTTAGATTATCATTGCCCAGTTCATTGAGGGAGCACAACAAGGAAACATTCAGTGAAGCAGCATTTTCATAGATTCACGTGGTTTTGTTGTTCTTTTAATAACATTGTTCTTCACTTAGAGGGAAAATCAGTTTAAACTACAGTGAGTAGACAGAGATAAGTAGGTAAACATTCCCATGTGGAATAACTGGGGCTAAGTAGTTGTTAAAAATGACCTGCTACCGGGCTGGGAAGGTGGCTCAGTGGTAGAGCGCTTGCCTTGCATGCTTGAGGCTCTGGGTTCGATTCCTCAGCACTGCATAAACAAAAAGAAAAAAAAAGCTGGAAGTGGCGCTGTGGCTCAAGTGGTAGAGCGCTAGCCTTGAGCTGAAGAGCTGAGGGACAGCGCCCAAGCCCAGAGTTCAGGCCACACAACCGGACCAAAAACAAAAAAAATGACCTGCTACCATTCATTACATATCTCAGTAGCTACATATGTTGTGTTTGAAGACAGAAAGACTTAGGTACAAATTCTACTTGTGCATTATCTGGTAGTGTGACCTTTAAGGAAGATATTCAGTATGCCTATATTCTTTAACTGAAGGTAATAATAATCATGTGAGTTGTCTGCAAAGTAACTTGCACAGTAGCTACAGTGAGCAATAATTGCAATAGCAATAGCTATTAGTACTATTGATTTACCATTTTTGATTCTCTGATCTACATTTCCGAGTCAGTACTATTCTTATTTTTATTTTTTTTTATTATTATTATTTTGTCAGTTGTGGGGCCTGAACTCTGGGTCTGGGCGCTGTCCCTCAGCTCTTCATCTCAAGGCTAGTACTCTACCACTTGAGCCACAGTGCCATTTCTGGCTTTTTCTGTTTATGTGGTGCTAAAGAATTGAACCCAGGGCCTTATGCATGCAAGGCAAGTATTCTACCACTGAGCTACCTTCCCAGTCCAGTCAGTACTATTTCAGTCATAACCAGAAGGAAACCAGAACTTAATCCTAAAGTGGTAACTAAAGAAAAGCATAGTACTTAATCCAAAATTAATGTTACATTTCTAAAAATTCCACAAAAGGCATAATTGTATAAGAGAAATTAGCTCTTCATAGGCAGAAAACCTCAGGGGGTTGGCCAAATGCAGCCATGGAGCAACTTCTGAAGAATTCAGCCTGAGAAATACCAATGCCATAATTTTCCCTAAATAGAGAGAGGCCAGGCAAACTCAGGGAAGTGGGGGAGGGAACTGGAATGTGAGTCAATTAAGTGTCATTAAGAGTAAGATTTGCCTGGAACCCATCTTTTCTGGGCATGTAGAGATCCAGTGTTATTTACTTATAGTCTTTTCTTGAAAGACAAGACCATCCAGGTGTGCTCACTGACCTTTTTGTCCAGGTGTGGTGTACACACATTTCCAAGATGAATTCTATGCATCTAAGAGGACTAGTAGCTGAGTCATCTGTCCCTAGAAAAGAATATTTGGTGACTGAGAGATAAAGATAATTGTAATATTTGGAGGTTATTGACAAAAATCATAGTGAAAGCATGAGAGTTCTTAATAATAAAAACAAGTGCGGGGGCTGGGAAGGTGGCTCAGTGGTAGAATGCTTGCCTTGCATGCATGAAGCCCTGGATTTGATTCCTCAGCACCACATAAGCAGAAAAAGCCAGAAGTGGCACTGTGGCTCAAGTGGTAGAGCGCTTGCCTTGAGCTGAAGAGCTGAGGGACAGCGCCCAGGCCCAGAGTTCAGGCCCCACAACTGACCAAAAACAAATAAATAAAAACAGGTGTGGAATTTTAAGTGAGCTTATATCACAGATACACTATCTACAACATTTTTTTTCTGATGGCTTAGAATTTCACTAAGTCATGAAGTTTTAGATCAATGCACTAAAGGAGTTATGAATGATCATTGACTCTAGGAACACAGCATAATTTCCAGGTTGTCCTCCATATGCTGT